TAGTAGAGGGTCCGAACTTGTCTGGCACCCGACCTCGACGAGAGGTGGATGCCAAACTACCCGAGGTGACTCGGCCTACGGACTCAAACTCGAGCTCTTCCTCGAGCTCTACCTCGGGCCCCGCCTCGGACTCACTAAGGCCGTCGGGGGCAGCAGCTCGGTTCGTAGAACCAGCGTATGACCCCCCTAGAGGGCTATCCGTGCTACTAAAACTAGACATTGAAAACAAAGAAGGCTGAGGACTCACCAGGAAAAGCTACCGAACTACGGACGAGTGACGCGAGCTGGCCGGCTTGGATGCGAGCTCAAGGAACAAACGCTGAAGGATAACAGAGGAAAGTGACTCGGGGTCCCCCCACTATTTAAAGCCATTGTACCCGCGCATCAACGGCCAAGATCGAAACCATCCAACGGCTCCCCGCAAAGTCAGTTGCGCACTCCCCGACGAAAAGACACTTTGGCACGCACGTTCGAAAATTCGAAATTGTTTGGCGCGCACGTTCAAAATTTTAAAAATTTGAAAATCGTTGGCGCGCGTGAGCCACACCCAGCCCGAGACTGACCCCTGGTCGAGCCAAGCCGACCCCGGTTGAGCCAAGAACACAAGCAGACCAGACCAGAAAAGTTCCTAATCAATGCCAAAGTGTCCCGAGGCAAATCCACCTGTCATCCCGTGAACTCCCCACGTTGGGTCAAGACCCCAAGCACGGGGAGTGGGGGGCAATTGATGGAGGAAGATTTGACCCAACCCCTCGGCCATGCGACACGTGGAAGCAACCGAGAGTGACCTGGCAGAAATGCCAGCTTGGCATGGCAGTAGGCCCACAACCCGAGCTCCGAACTAAAGAGCCGAGCTCCCTCGAAGGAACCTGCAACCCGAGCTCCGAACTAAAGAGAGTCGAGCTCCCTCGAAGGAACCTACAACCCGAGCTCCGAACTAAAGAGAGTCGAGCTCCCTCGAAGGAACCTACAAACCGAGCTCCGAACTAAAGAGTCCCGAGCTCTCCCTTCGAGGTCCTGAGGCTTACAAGGAGCACCAAAGGTAGAAAACCCGAACTACCCACCTAGGGGCAGTTCGGGCCATACTCCTATCCGAACTCGAGACTTCACATTAAAAGACCACTTCGGCTCCAAATCGCCTAACTGAGCAACCGTACCTGACGCCTAGGAGACCGTACACGGAGGCGGCGCACCTGACCGATCAGAGGACTGACACATGACAGCCGCCATCCAACAGCCACCTGCCACTGCCATCCCAGACGGACAGAGGTGACCCTGGCAATTGGCAGTGGAGGTTATGACACCCGAACTGGCAGTTGACAGAAGGAAGTGACCCGATCTGGTAGAGGTAATGATGCCCAAACTGGCAGAGGCATGGAAGTGAGCACACAGGGTGATTATAAAAGGCCTCCATCTCACAAAGAAGAGGGTATGTGATTCTTGCGTTTTCTGGTCTTAGAATTCCTCATTTCCCTTGCCTTCTGAAGAACACTAACTTGAGCTTCGGAGAGTTCCAACCGGGTTCCTCCCTGGAATCCTCCATTTTCTTCCTTGTTTCAGGCACCTCCGATCTCATCAGAAGCGAGGTAACCAACAGCTAGGATAGACCGGATCGCGCATCATCAGTTAGTACATAATTTCTTGATGAATCTTGTAAAAATATAAAATTATTAATAATATACTATAATTATTTTTGTTTGTTAATAATGTTTTAAAATTATTATATAATTTTGTTACAATATTTAAATGTTTTTTTATTTTTAATTGAAACTTTTAAATAGATATAAATAAAAAGTAGGGGAGAGGATAAATAGGAATTAGAGATAATTTAGGAGAAGGTGGGGATCTCTTTAGTTTAAGAGAAATTTTAGATGAAAATATTATTGAAATAATTTATTAGGGTGGCGCATTGCATTGCGAAGTTTGCTTGCTCTTTACAACCTAGTCTTCTGAGCCTTTGTTCTTACACGATCTCCGTGTAATCTCAAGAATCTCTTAAGAAAGAATTATACAAAGCTGCCTGTCTTGCGTATTGATTAGTTTTCTTGTTATTGTGAATGCTTGCTGCGTTTTTTTTTTTTTTTTTCTTTTGGTGTAACAGAACTCCCTTGCAACCCTGCAGTACATGTTTCACTGGGGTCAAGGGAATTGGTGTGACCACGGTCACAGCAGATGTGCTCTCGAAGTTTGTTGCTTCTGCTTGGACTTTCATTAACAAAGCCCCTGATTTAAGAGGATACTCTCCTGCCCTTGCCCTTTGATTGGAATCTTCTTAGCAACCATCTCCCACCTTTTAAGTAGTTAGGAATTCGGATGGTTTATTTGGTTCCCCTATTTGATGTCAATCCTCTCGTCTGGGCCCTTTTTTTTGGATTCCTAAAGTTATCCTTCAAAACAAGCTTAGTTCTATACATTGGGCTAGGTTGCAATTGAATCAAACTCTAATTGAATTGGTTTGGGCAGTTCGATTAGGCTCCATTCGAGTTCAATTCTAATCGAGTTTGAATTTCAAGGTAAGTTTGATTAGTTATTCGAATGAATTCAAGCTTAGCCAATAAAATGTTCTGCTCGAAAGTTCATGAGCCTGGCTTGATTAACCATGGTTTCTAAAATCAACCCGATGACTGAACCGGTCAGGGGTTTGGTTATCAAGTCGAACGGTCCAATTGTTCGACCCAAATGGTCGGCCCATTCTGACAAAAAAAAATTTAAAAATTAAAAAAATAAAAAAAATTGAAAAACGGTTAAAACGGTTTGAACGATTAACCGACTGGTTCAGTGGTTTGCTGACCAAAATCAACAGTTTTGGGAAAAAATGGAACCAGCTCCTAGTTTTTCCGATCCGGTTTTGAAAACCATGTGATTAGCACATACATACATACATTTTAGAATATAAAAACATATTTTTATATTCTATATATAATATAAGAATATCCTATATATTATAAGAAAATACATCATATATATTTAGAAAATATAAAAATATATTCATTTACAAGCTTTCGAGCTGAACTAGAGCTCATTGAATATTTTATTGAGTCGAGATAAAACTAGATAATAGAATTTGAATTGAATTCAAGCTTAATAGTATTCCCTACTTTGKGCCTCAATTCTCCAACTGAAATTTTCTCAACTAGTAGTCTAGGCATGGCTCATCGATTTGGATGCATTGCATCAAGTTCACGTTTATGGACTGAGCCCATTCAAATTTTAATAAAATCTCAACCCAAGCTCGACACCCTTAATATATGGAGTTGAATGAGGGAGCCTTTTTTTTTCTTTTTCTTTTTCTTTTTTTTTTTTGTTTTTGACTGAGTTGAATGAGGGAGTCATGTTACCATTTAGAATTCTATGAATATATAGTTTGGATTATTAACGTAAATCACCAAATAAGGGAAGTGAACAAATTTCCAATTTCCAATCAAAAGATTGCCTATTTGATGAATGGTTTAGATTATGGTTTTGAAAATTAGAACAGACCAGACGGTCAAACCGATTGATGTAAGAACTGTCCAAACAACCAGTTCCATTTCATCCTAAAACTGTATCTGAGTCAAAAATTGTTGACTTGATCAGCAATCCATTGATCAGGATGATTGAACTATCAAATCGTCAATCTGAACAATAATTTTTGGCTTTTATTTTTTATTTTTTAAATCAAAACGGGCCATCCATTCTAACCACCAACCCAAAAACCAGTGGCAAAAGCAATTCCGATTCCAGATCATTGGTTTAGGCTTTGTTGATCATAGGATTTCTCCTTATGACAGTGAACAAATGGATCGTTTAGGGAGCTTTTGTAACTAACCTGATTGGGAATCCTTATATACCAACTTTGCATTTTAAAATAATACATCGTGAGCAAGCAGGAATAACGAAAATTGATCCAACCGAGGTATGTTTTTATAGAATGCGGCTTTGGCCCTCGTACAAACAAACAGGTGTGATTGTTGTTGTTGGTGATGGGATGATGCTCCATACAAATCAGGTGCTATACGCTTGAACTAGTCGATGGGTCAGTGATACGATGCATACAAGCATGGTTTTTGAACTGCCGTTGATTCAGATGGTTGGATTATTTGGCCTGGAAACCATTTAGGTAATTGGTTCTGTTTTATTTCAAATTTAGTCTCTGGTTAAAAACTATTGAATAGGTCAATAATCCGTTGATCTGGGCAGTCAAACCATCGACCTGTTTAATAGTTTTTTGTCATTTTTTATTTTAATTTTTTGTCAAAACGGGCCATCCATTTGAACCAGACGATCGAACCATTAACCCAGAAACCAGTGACCAGAATGGTTTCGGTTCCAGATAGTTCTTAAAACATTGCACACAAGGCCATTTGGCACATACGAAGAGCCTACATTTTCACAATTTGAACCTACCCTCTCAATACAAGGGTCTAAGGATGGGAGATCCCTTACAACTAACTTGACGCAAGTGGATTAACAGACCTAGCTTAGTTGTTGGAAAAACTTTGGCTGTTGGGGGCCAACAGCCTATGCTGTTGAGAGAATTTCTGAAAATGCCACGTTAACATGAGAATGGACAAATTAGTAATTATATATTAATTTATTTTTACTAAGAATCAAAGCATGGTGTAAATAGGTGAACTGTCTAGAACGTGCCCAGCCCATAAACTGTTTCAACAGCCAAAGTTAACCCTTAGTTGTTAGCGGGTTAATAGAGTTAGGGTAGAAGAGATTTGCTCAGATCTACTACCCACAAGCTGTTTTCATGTCTCGCCCATGAGACATTACAGTTGTGCATTGAAAATATCTCTCTTATCATTTATAGGAAGATGTTCCTAATACACGATGATGATGCTCTGTGAGTGGGGATGTGGGGATGTGAGAACAATTTGTGGATAGTAGATCAGGAGTGAAAAGAGATAGATATATAGGAATGCAACTTAGGTCTGGTTGAATTAAGAATTTATTAAATTTTTCAATAGGCCAAAACACAATATAACTGAAATTCTTCTAATCAGGACAACCCAACTAGGACTAGGAGCCCTAGAACTTGCTTAATTGTGCCTCTTGGGAGGAATGTCAACTCCCCACCACCTAGACTTCAAGGTTAGTGGTGACTCAATTAGGAGTAACCCACCATAACTTGGCTTCTTCCGGAGTCAGCAACAGCTACGTATGGTTCTAGGACAAACGACTTTGTCTCCCAACAAGATTTCCTTTCTCTAACCAGTGGTTTGGATGGGTTGTTCCATTCAAATTGACAGGTGAATGGGCCGTGACATGCATCAAATTAAACCCAACAAAATCCAAAATTGAAGGGCAGTGGGGGCCCATCCTGGTGCAGTACAATACATTGCAGCCTAATACCACCAAAGATTTGCCTGACAAGTCAACCCACGGCAACAAAGTACATACGCGTTGACCTCCAACTCACATACATACAAGATTTTAATTCACATAACCTGTCTCCTTCACCATTCTGCTCACTAAAAACAAAATGGCCCATCGCTTCCACATAGTTTTGGTAGATGGGTTGCTTGCAAATTTCCATTTAGTAAGTAAACTAACTGCGTTTATATTTCACTAAGTAATTAATTGAATTTCCTTTGAGAAACAAGCCCCCCACATCCAACCCCAGTAAGCTAGCCCCTGTGATCATACAAGGAAAAATACTGAAAATTCAATTCAATGGAAGAAACACAGACCCATCTTCTTAACAAGACTGCATGGTGGTTGTGGGGGTGGTGGTGGTGGTGGTGGTATTTGCATGAATGAAATTGAAAATCTGTTGAACTGAACTCGCTATCTCCTCAGCTGAGAACCTTGATTCACTCGCAACCTAAACATATACAGAAGTTAGCTGATTTAATTAAGAATCCAAATGTTTAATTTAAACAATGGAGATGTATGTTGAGTGAATTAGATGAGTAGATTAAAAGAAATGCATGGTACCTTGACATTAAAGGAGTAGAGAACAGTTTGTTCAATGGTGGTGATGTTGGTATGGAGGATGTTGAGCTGCAAATCTTCAAGAGCAGCAATTGTCTTGAGGAGCTGGCCAGGCCTTCTTTGAGAGAGAATCTTGATCATGGCGTCAAAGCCCAGGAGCTTCACTTCGACTTCGGCCAAGCAGGATTTGTTCTCTGCCGTTTCTTCTCGGAGTCCAGTCTCTAGTTCAACAAGCTTCATCTGGTCGTTTGACAGAGGCAAAGGAGGTAAGAATGGTAGCTGAGGCTGCTGAATTGCTAGTGGAGGAGAATCGCCTATGGGTCTAGGAGGTTCCTCACCGCTCCCATATAGTCTTCTCCGCTTCTGAGATTCTAAGCATTGAAGGAGCTGCTCCAGTTCTCTTACAAATTCAATGGCTCCACCAATAATGGATGCTTGATCTCCCTGTAAATTCACAGGAACAAATGCTTGCACCATGAGCTCCTGGCCTGGGTTCAATCCTAACTTTCAGAAAACATATATTTGCACCGATTGGTCGATACCCATTAAGTAGTTGATCAATTCTAAAATTTAAAATTTAAAAGCTTTTTCTTTGTTTTGTCAGTTGGATATCAGATCAAACCAAATTTATATGAAAAACACCAAAAAATTAGAAGGCAAGAAAGACAAACAGATAAATAGAACAAGTGTTTGATGTAATGCAAGCATGTATTATATATGCATACCCTTTGAACATATGAACTCGGCATGAGAGACCTCAGCACTCGTAGATGCTCGTTCATTTGTTTCCTTCGGTTGCGCTCAACTGCTATGTGAGTCATACGTTGGCTCTCAACCTCCTCGCTCGTCTTCACCGTCCTGGGCCTCTTACGCCGGCTCTTTGCCTCAGCTCCTGGGCTTTTCTGAAGATTTCCTCCCGGAGTATGGAGCTGCACCGAGTTGTTCTCAGACACAACCCGACCTTCTTCCTCTACTTCCTCTTCTCCGGCCACTGTCACTTTGCTTTCTGCATTCGGCATTTTGAATCTCTCTTCCTCTTCCTCCGTCGTCGGTGGAGGAATCAAGAGACTTTGATCCTGTAACTTGTCATTCAACACTGGAAACTTGAGAAAATATCCTGGGTCGATCCCATTTTCGTCATCCGATATCTTGGCTTGGTTTAAGGCCAATTTGGGTCCAAAATCAGCGAATTGCATGACTTCGGCGAAGCTCAGTCTGTCAAGAGACGTGGCACTACAGAAGCCAGATGACAGTTGGTGTAGAGGAGGATTGTTGAGCATGTAATCCACCATCCCCACACTGCCGTCGCCGGAATTCTCACCGAGTCGTGGCTTCATGAGCTGATGGTGGTGGTCTAGAGTGTAATCTAGGCCTGTAAAGCTCGTTGGGAGAGCCGCCTGCAACAATTGAGGTTTCAAATAAAACATGGCCATGAATTGAAAGAAAAGAAAAGGAATACGATCGGTGACTGAGAGAGTAAGCCTACCGAGTAGCTTTCTCCTCTGTCCATTGTTATATATATATATAGGAGATTTGAAATGACTGGAACTGGGGAAACCCAGTGAAGTCAATCTCAACCCATGTAAAAACAGAAACTCTCCTTGAAATTACTCAACTTGGGTCCCCACCAGTTATGGCACCAAATGGTCAAATTAATCTACAGCCAGTTATCAATTAATGGCTTCCGAATCAGACAATTTAGAGGATTAGATTCTCAGCTGAATCCTATTGAATCTGAGGGTGAAAACTAAACAAGAATAGCACTTGGGGTTGAGCAGAAATGGCTTCTCTGAACTGTAATCGAGAGGAAAAGACTAGATCAAATCAAATGGGTTTTCTGTACTTGAACCAGTGAAGAAATACATGGCAAAGAGACCTGGCCACCACCATGCACGTTGAGGTATGATCTGGAAGCTATAGAGGGGATGGCGAGATTATCCTTTTATAGTCTCCCTCAGAGAGAGAGAGAGAGAGAGGGGAGCCTGTTGCATTAATTGAAGTGGGGATTAAATTCCACCTCACTTCACCTCCTTTTATTTATATTTATCACAGACTAACAACGCTCTTCTCATACTTTTTTCTCATCTCTGAACCTCTCGCGGCTTCCCTCCCTTATCTCATGACACCTATTTAACCAAACGACGATGCTTTTCAAATTACAGAAGTTCTCAGTTTCTCACTTCTCAGAGATGGTTAGTGATTTGAAGGGTATAGAGTAATGATCATCCGAATTTATTACAGAACCCGGTAAAGTTTTTCTTTCCGGGTCGGGTTATCCGAAGCTAGATAGGCTAGATTTTCATTAGATTATAAGAATCAGATCGACATGGGGCTTCATCATGCATACATCTGTTCACGGGCCGGGCCGGGCTTTGCATCTTTATTAACAAATAAAAAAATGTTCAGGCCTGAGCCCGAGCCCAGCCCTTCTATTATGAAGCCACAAATATAGTCTGAACATAAAAAGCCCCATCTATGGTGTAAATTAATAAATTAATATTATATTAATTCATAATAAATTTAAAAAATTAGTATCATCATCATCCATGCCTTATCTTAATTATACAGGGACGATTACATGAATCATGTTTTTTTGATTTGTTATATTTAGGCTTCGTTCATTTTTTGGTAAGTTACTTACCTAGGTAAATGTATTTATCCGGGTAAGAAAAGATTTATCCGGATAAGTACATTTATCCATGTTCTTTTATTTTTCTTACAAATAAGATAATGACCATTTTAGCCATATAAATCCATTATTACAAGAGGCATTTTTGTCCCATTTAAGTGTTGGCAACTTTCCTCCAAGGTGGGAAAGTTATTACCCACCTAGGAGATGGGTACCAGGAAAATAAATTTTCCCTAGTCCTCACATAAATCTGAAAAAATAACATGGGATTCTTGGTTTCCCCCCTCTCAAAATCAAAAAAAAGAACACCCCCTTAAAGGTATATATATTATTAAATTATTAGTATTTAAATCATTTCTTACTACTTCCACCCATATCCTTTTTTTGTCTACCCTGAGTTCTTCTAACCCCTTCGGTGTGTAACAAATCACTTCTCTCTCTCTCTCTCTATTGGAGTTACTCCTAGATTTCTATAGATATATATTATTGGGCCAAGCTTATTTGAGAAAACTTGAGCCCAACCTAAAACATAGTTGGAATGATGCTTAGAACCCAAGTCCTAGCTAATGGACCTAAAATTTTGTCCAAATCCGATAAAGATCAAGTCAGACGAACCAACCAACCCGTCGGACTACCCAGCTCATGAACAGACCTAAATTCATGCATGGATGACAGACAAGGGGAGACCCATGATAGTGAGCGACACGGGTTGAGAGAAAAAATTGGAGGATTGGTAGAAAACAACGAGTTCATGCAACCCTTGAAAATTTCCCCCACAAAAATGGTAGGGCAATAGTCTAGGGCCTATGTTGCATATACTGGTTTATTGCCATTTTCCACCAAAACAATATTACGCGCTTTCGTACTATGTCTTTTAGTGCGTTGTAGTAGTAGGTTTATCATGAAGACAAAACTGACCTACTTTCCATTAGTCTCACGCCATGTTTTTATCTTGCAAAGTCTTATTTTACTGCAAACCATCTTAGGGTTAGTTCAATTATAACAAAAATTTTGCATTGAATTGTGCAAGTAACAAAGAGTTCATGCAACGCTCTCCATTTTATTTTTGTCTGTAGGGCAAAGAATAAATGAAATGAATGGCTCATTTGTTGTCAATTTTTAGACTGTATTTGGTAGAAAGAATGTTGATAATAACAAATTTTCGCCGATGTAAAGGAAAAGGATTGCATGAAGCTTGCAGCCAGCGTTAAAATTTTTGTCAAACTCTCATGATCATGAATGCCAATTTGTTTATTCGAGAAAATAAGATTAATGTTCGTGACTCCATAGAGTTGGGACAAGGCTTAGATGATGATGATGATGATGATGATGATGAAGATTGCTCGTAAATAATAAATTTATGCAACTCTTGAAAATACGAGTCAACAACAGTGATGGATTCACCAAATTTGTTTGGAGCAGCTCTCGGAATCCTTGTTTGTATGTTGTACAAACTACAAATTAGTCAGAGCACATGGAAATGGAGAGGGACTGATGCAGAGAACCCTACAGAAAGGATGTACATGGACGGAGAATTCAGTTAAACAAGGGAATCCTTTGCCCATGCTGTCGTTGCCTTCCACATATCACACAAATGGTGACGAAGGAAATGCCAAAAACCAAGGCTGTAACTAGTGAATGGTGGTGCTCTCACTATCCTTTCTTCAGGTCCTTTGCATGTACTATTCATGTGGCATGTCGGAGAGAGAGAGAGAGATGGGTTTGATGACAACCAAAAGAAGGACGAAGAAGCGAAAGTAAGTCTAGATGAGATGAGTCCGGATCTACTAGAAATAAGAGATCATTGCATCATTTGATCCCTTACGTACCCACAAACTCTTCCCACATCCTTACCCAAATAACACTACTGGCGCGCATTGGGATCGGAATATGTCAAGACACTAACAATTGATTTTTTTTTATTTTTTCAAGGCTGACATTCAACCTGCGCTGACTGCGCATCGATCCATTCATGGAATGCTTGGAAGGACACTTAACCTTTATTGAAGGAATAAAGATGAACTCGTGATCATGAGAGTTTGGCAAAAATTTTAGTGTTAAATGCCAACCTAAAGCAATCTTCCTTTATCTAGGCCTGGAACCGGCAGTGTAAGATAATCTCATATTGGCAGAGTTAGACACAGAGAAAAATACTTCAATATAATTGAAGAACTATCATCCAAATAAAACAATATAAGGAAAAGGGTTCTTAATGGTGTCAAGTAGTGAGCTTTTGTGACAAATCTGTGACTGCTCCATCACATATAGGGGGACCTACTAGATTTCCTATGTGTTCAATCCCATAGTTCATGTCATTTCTACATCCCATTTGTATTAATGGTTTTCATAAACAACATTGGTCATTTAATTTTTAAATTCTTTTATATATAGAAATTATTTTTGTAGGGTTTATTTTACACACATGGAAGATTCACAGGTTATTTAAGAAAGCTCAGCTAAAACAACTCAATGAGCAAACCTAAGAATTCTTGATCATATAGATTTGAAATACTGGCAATCTTTTAGTAGAAAAGAGCTCAATGACAGTGCCAGAGCTTGATCTCCTCTATGTACAAACTGGCAGCAAAAAGAAAACGATAATGAGAAGGAAATTAATTAATTAAGAAGAAACCCTAAGGTGTGTTTGAATTGGAAGATGGAGAATGAGGTTTCTAGCTTCCCCTAAAATCAGCAGAAACAAGAAAAATAGCCACAAAACACCACCACCTTCACCACCCAACCCCAGCCCCCAAAAGAAGAAAAGAAAAAAAAGAAGTTACCACCAATTAAGACAAAGCAAAACACACCTAAAAATACTTCTATGTGTGGCATTGTTTTAAAGCTAAACTGCAAAATCCAGAAGTAGTAGAGTCTGCATTTCCATTTCTATTAATGCAATTAATCCAAAAAGAACCTAAACATAAAGGAAGAGTTGCAGTAAGAGAACACACCAATATATTAACTTCCTTTCTGATGAGCATGAATGCCTGAGATTGGACGGGCTTTAACTCCATCTGAAACTCATCTCTCTTCCATGAATCTCTTTAGACCCTCCAGATAACCAGTACTAGCACCCTAGATAGAAACCATTCAAGTCCTTGAATCAATATCAAGGAGTGCTCAAACAGATGCATCTATATTGATGATTTCCATGGAGAAGTTTCATCATTTGTCAACCAAAGGGCTTAGCTAGAACTCAGATGACACAAATTTAAATGAGACTAGTACAAGGACCCGAGTTTATGACATGTTCTTACTGAATGGAGGGTAGGAAAATTCTGTTCTGACTAATGACTGCACCAAGTTATAGTACTCTTTGCTCAATAAATAGATTCTTTCTGTATAAAATAAATAAAAAAATAAAAGAAAAGAAAAAGAAAATGAAATTATTTTGGATTGAATGGAAGATGGTTGATATGGGAAGACACTTAGAATGTAAGTGGTGGCTATTTGGCATGAGTCCCTTTTGACACCAACCCATTGGTTGAATTTTCCCAATCATGTAGGCCACCTCAACGAACATTATTAAATGAATCCTTGTCTCACTAGAAGAGAAGGGAGAAAAATATTATTACAAAAAAGGGGGGAAAAGGGGAAAGCGCACATAAAGAGAATTTTTTCCCTTTTCCATAGTGTATCAACAATTACAGTTTTCCTATTCAATACATAAATTTACATCTCTATTCAAGAACTAAAGTTTAATGTCAAAAAGTCCCCAAAAATTTAAATTTCATTTTCTAACCAATTGGGTCAGACAATGAATTCATAAGTATTAAAAATATGGGTAGATTCCATGAAGTTCACCTGCAATTGTATTTTTTCCTACAGTATCAATGTCTATAAATATGACCAATTTCTCAAACATTTTTAAAGGAATGCATGGGTATATATGTGAAAATAATATTAGAAGTCTTATTTAAACAAATTTTTAGTATATTTTACTTAGTTTTTATCTAAAACTATTGGAAATGGTAAAATGAGGGACAGAAATGTTATTGTGCATGTAAATTTTTTTCATTTAGTATTGACTAATTAAATACAATGTTTTTAAATGATTGCACAAATTGTTTCTAAAGGCAAAGCTATCATTCATACAAGTTTGAGATCTTTGTAAAATTAAACCAACTATCAAGGTAATTTTTGACAGTAAAACCTCTTCTGTTTGCATAATTAATAAACAGGAAATCTAGAAGGGAATTGAGAATGGAAGATAATTTAGGAGGAAGAACACAATTTTTACAGCTTTAGTTTGCCCCTGTTTCATCAACAGAGTCTAGTATTGCAGAACGTTCAAGCCAAAAGAGTAAGACTTTTTTTGTTAAGATAAAAGGAAGACTTTTAGTCATGGTTTTTAAAACTGACCCAGAGATCAAACCGGTCAGGGGTCCGGTTACCAGGTTAAACAGTCCGACCGTTCGAACCAAACAGTCAGTCTGTTCTGACAAAAAAAATAAAAAAAGGGTTAAAACCATTCGAACGATTAACCGCCCGGGTCAGCAATTTGCTGACCAAAATCAACGGTTTTTTGAGAAATTCCGGTTTTGGAGAAAAATGAAACCAATCACCTAACCGATTCCCAGTTTTTCCAGTCCGACTGTCTGATCTGATCCGATTTTAAAAACCATGTTTTTTTTTTTTGTAGCACAAGCTCAATTGAATAAATTTTTGCAAAGTAATAAAGGATCAGGCTGCATCACCCAAACCTGATTGGATGATCAAATGCAAAGTTTATCACAATATTCAGATTAAAAATTAATTAGGTTTTGATAATTGAGTCAGGATATCTCTAAGAGAGGCACTAACCTTTAAAATTAACCAAATGTCTAAATTCCATATATTTAACATTTGAAAACCCAAAGACATAATACGATACACCCGATATTATAATATTTTGGGAGGCTGAAAACAATCTATTTCAACTCTAGAAAACTACTGTAAAAATAAGATGGTAAAAAAGTACCAAACCTTGGCACTTTGAATACATTGTAGGACAGATCTGATCCGCTACCACATTGCATGCACTGGTTTTTTACCAAAGAAAATGTACCTAATTGGGTAAAATATGTTTCTTCTCTAGAAAACCTCACTTCTACAGTGTGGAGGATGCATGATGTGACCCATCCAAATTTCACCATATAAAGGTTGGACCTATTTTATATCAATCTATTTCAACCATATATTCCATCTTAGTATTGGAGTTTGCATTAGGGCTGTCAATGGTACAAGTCAACCCGACAGACCCTTACTGGTCCACCCCATTGCATTTGCATAGGGTCTGGGTCTGTACTTCAGTCCCCAATTATTAATTATTAATAGGGTTGATTCGAGGTCTACATTGAGTCCCCATTAGGGGATATATAATTGTGTTTTATAAGATATATATAAGATATGTTGTTTTATGAGAGAGGGAGAGAGAGAAAGCAAGAAAATTAGCAAATTTATTGTCAAATTATCAGCCTAAAATACTGTTAATTGGTTAAGTTACTTGGCTCTAAGTCTATTACTTATGGGGTCTAAGTCGAAGCTAGGGTTGGATAGTGCTAGAAATGGATCAAATAGAATCGGATATCCACCTAAATCCTAATTTGATTTGCTAATATTTACATCTAAATCAAAACTTATCCATTGGACTTGATTGATTTTGGATGTGGACATTGGATTATGATATTGGAAAAACATGTAATCAATCAATTGATATTATAAAAGTGATAACCAATCAGGTGGTATTTATCAAAAGAATGTTTTAATTGATCAAAGCCTTTTCAGTGTCATTATCTTTTTGACATTATAGATCTTTCCATAAACTAAACCATTGTTTTCAATCTATTATTGACCTCAATGGCCAAACCATTCAATCGACCATAACCATCCGATTTAACCCCAAACCCATCACTATACAAAATTAAAACCAGTCAATTCATTGTTGACTCGGTTTTTTGTTACAAACGGAATACAACAAAAAACCAGCTCAATCTCCAATTCAGTCGCTAAAACACTGAATTAAATTAATTAAATTGATACCATAATTTAACAATGGATATAGCACTGAACAAAACAGAATGAAAAAACAAATTTCGTATAGCCCACGGCAGTTGGGACAAGGCTTAGATGAATGTAAAGTCCGACTTCGATGAGGGCAAAGCCTGTTCCAACAACCTTTACAACCTTACATCGTTGGGGCCATTTTGGGCTCCCAACGATGTATCCCCATGGAAGATTCCTTCTCGTTTAGACTTCTTTCACCAAACACTAGAGTGGTTACTGTGGACACCCTATTTGGGTCCATGAACCATCAATCAAAATTGGAATAAATTGAGGCAAATTCTGTCACTCGGGACCCTAGTGAAACTGAACCTTTGTCCCAATCTATATTCTTTTTGTTCATATAATTGTCTGGTTGTGGGTTCCAGTTCTCTCCACTTCTCAAATGGTATTCAATGAAAAATGACTAATAAGTTTAGCATTTTTTCACTTTGAAGCAAAAAAAAGTTAAAAAATTAAAAAAGAAAGTTCAGTATTTTCACCAAAGTCACTAGGTTTTGAGTTTTTTACTGCAATTCCATGATCCAACAAGGAAAAAAATCACCATTTCACACAAATGTTTATATATTTATTCTCCTTAAGCTGTGTTTGGCGTGATAGAAGATATGCAAGAAATGGAAAATTGAGACAAGTTATCATAAGGAATTTGTTAAATTTGTTAGGAATCTCTCAACTTTCTGTTTTTTTCTTATTTTCTATCAAACCAAACACAGCCCTGTATGTCATATTGTTATTTTTTTATGGGATTAACACTTAACCCACCTCCAAGTTTGACACAATACTGAGACTTGAGTAAAAAAATCCTAATGAACTAACAGCATGCTAACAGAGGGGGTGGTTCTAGTTTTGCCATGCATCCAACAAGCTAAGAGAAGTTAGAGTCCTTTCAGAAAGGTCCGAGAAGGTTTAAGAAAATAAAGGGAGGTAGGAGTTGACTGAGCTTAAATTTGAGTCCAATGAAATTCGGCCCGTAAAACTCACAAACTTAACTGAGCTTAAATTATATATAATATTTTTAATTTTTATATGTACAATAAGAAATAATTTTTATTTTTTATATGAAGTTTGCCGCATTATCGAGCTCGAACATATAAGTTTTTGAGTTGAACAAATTCGAGCTCATGTTTCTAGCTCCAATCAAGCTCAACCCTCATGTTTTTCGGCCAAGCCAAGTTCTAATAGTCTAATATTCGGCTCAATTTGGCTCAAATCCACCCCAGAAATTCAAGTTTATTTTTAAAATCTACCTTATAAAATTTAAGGCCACTACTGCCCTTAAGGCCTTAACACCATCCGGTAAAATAGACTACTAAAGGTACTTAAGACAAGTTTCGCTTTCTCCTCTAAATATACTTAAGTAATTAGTTAAATTTGTACCTACAAACTGAATATTTTTGTCAAAATGTTTTCTTAAAATATTTAATAAAACACAAAGGTACAAGTTGAATCCTCTTTTTTTCTAATAGTGACATCAACAAAAAAAAAATAAGGATAAATTACAGATTATTATCCTATACTTTGGGGTAGTGGCAATTTTACCCCTGAACTTTTATTTGTGACAAAGATCCCTTGAACTTTGAAATTCCAACAAAAAGGCTTCCCTTTATTACCATTCCCTCAATTAAATTTGAAGAAGATTCTCATGTAACTGTTTTAACTTTTCTAAATCCCTGGACTACCATTTTGTCCACTGATTTTCTAAAACAAAGTGTTGGGGTAATGTTTTTTCAATTTCCATTAGTTACTGGTTTAGGTGATATTATTTACATAATTACATGTTGTGTTTGTTACGTTGCAATTCTGGGTTTTCATAAAAGTTTCATTTTTTTTTTTCATTTTCATTTTATAGAAGTTTTTCAAGTGGGCATTTTGGCATTTACTTCTTCCTCACTCAATTTAACAGATAAGGGGTCTTTGTCAGAATCTGAAAGTTCTAGGGGTCTTTGTCACAATTAAATAGATCATTTTTATTTTAACATTTTAACTGAAATAATTGTAAATATGTCGTAAAATGTCAACATATCAAAAATGTAAACCAAGGATTTCATATTGTTATAAGTTCAATGAGTAGAAAATTATGTGAAATATTAAGTCCATATGATAAACAAAAAATGCATCAAACAATTGATCGGGATTTTAGAGCAAAAGGAATATCAAAATAAGTTTTGAAGAATTGCATAAAACAATTGTTAACTTGTTTCACTTTTTAGAGCAAAAGGGTTATCAAAATAAGTTTTGAATAAGTTCATCCGCTTTTGTCAATATGGAGGATTTTGAAAATAAGGCTCAGTTTGGTTGCAGTGCAAATTCCATTTGCATTAGTATAATGCATAGGGTGCAAATTCTAGTTTGCTTTTGTTTCAGATATGACTTTGTTATATTTGTTTGTAAAGAAAAAATAGGAAGATGATGTTATCCCCACCTTATATGCAAGATAATGGAGGTACGAGGAGGGTAATTTATTCAATAGTGAGATAGGAAGGTAGATGGAGTCCCCATTTTATATGAGAGAATTTGGGTAGGTGGAAGGTGGTGCGAATTTTGTATCAGTTTCTGAGAAGCAAATTTTGCACTGTCAATTAGTGCAAATGAAACAAAAAGTATTGTGTATCAGGTAGGAGTATAAATCATAGTTACAAACAAGAAGATGCAAAACTGAACCAAGTGCAAAATTTATATCTATCCAGATTTGCACTGCAAATAAATATAGCCTAAAGTTCAATTTATTCTGCACCTATGTGAACGAGCACATATTATTGGGTAGTATTTCCCATATTTAGAAAGTTTTAGGGAATAAAATAAGTATCTTGAACTTTCAAAAATCAACACCCAAGTCCAACTGTTAGCATTCTATCAATTATCTATAATACGTCACATGATATCATGTGTGACTTGAAACATTTCAAAATTCCAAAACTACCTTTCGCATATTTTAAAAGACAGCTCCCAAGAGGCTTTTACGAGTTTTACTAGATTGACCTTGCATCAAAATTTGACCGTTCTATCAAACCAGCTCAACAAGTTCATCATCAAGACTGCATAAAAGGAATTTAAAGTGGACAGTTTGGTAATTTTACCATTCATCATTATGCACTTGATTAAATTGTCATTAATATATATAAATTTGGAATTAGTTTGGCTTTTGTAAGGGAGATATTGAAAACAAAATTATTGGATATATAAACTAAAGCAAAACCTTAGAGAAGAGGGCATCTCCCTCAATCACATGGCTAGCCTCTCATTCATAAAAAAAGGGGTGAACAAATTTTAATTCAAAAAATAAAATCATTTATAAAGTGGGATGGGTCCCACTCTAGCTCTCAAATCGTATTGTTTCCCGGTTCAAATGGTTCAAATTAGAAAGTTAGGGCACATCCTTCAAGGCAAATTCTAGTACAGGAAGATACGGTGTCTGAGGAAAACATTAACCAATCAGAAACCCACATGAATTTAGATGAATACTGATTGATTGGCTATCAGTTTTTTAGGTACCATACTGTAAATCCAATTTTCCTCACTAAGAAAAAACAAAGGCTTTCAAAATGATATAGGTCCCATTCAAGAGGGGGTTTTTTTTAATTTTTTGGGAAAGCAAATAGGTTGTTCAATTATTAGGAATCAAATGAAAAAACACACCCACAGGTTTTTTCTCGTACTGAGTACGGATTTTTACTAGCTATAGCCAATGTTCAGAGGAAACAATGAACTTGGGCCCTTTGGCTGCATTCAGGTACATACCGCTGTCCTCCTAACAGCAGGTTGGTCTTATGTCCCAATTGGGTCCATGGGCGTGACCTCAACATCAGAACCCGACGGGCAGGGCAGTAACCAGTATAGCAATAAAAACAGGTTAATCGGGTACGGACCCTTGTCCCACTTGGGTCCAAGGAAGGACACGACACTCAACCCTCAAACAAGAGCCAGAGCAGGGCAGAAAGGAGGAATGGCAAGCTGACGATTGGATAATTTAATCGGGTAACCGGACCTGCCCCACACCAATCAGATTACGAACTCACCATGGAATAACGAACTCACCATGGAATAACGAACTCACCATGGCTGCAAGTGATGAGTGAACTAGTGGGTGAAACATTTCTCCTTATTTTCTTTTTGCTTGTTTCTCCCCTAATAATGCAACATTGGGTGTCATTTTTGAGGCCGAGTCCAGTTGGGTCAAATACGGATTCTACCGCTCCTACGAACCAGACATACCAGCTGAAGCCTGAATCCACATTGAGCAACAAAGGTGGCAGATATGGTACATTGTTAGAGCTTTCAACTTCACAAAATGGAATCTAGGGTTTCCACTCCCAATCCAACATGGGAAGAGATGGGTCCTACCTGTAATCGTTAAAACCAATGAGCCAATGAGGCAGTGACTTATGGGGTGTTTGTTATGAATTCAGATTTGGTCCTCACAAGGCGGTTCTCAAACCATCCTTACAGTCCCCTTGCAGCTGTGCATTGGGAATATCTCCCCGTAAATAAAAATATACAAATATGAAGATGTTCCCGAGGCATGGCTGCAAAAGGCTGTGAGGACAATGCGAGGACAATTTTGTGGACCAAATCCAGTCTAGTAACACTTGTTACTGTGGTAAAAAAAAAAAAAAAACTAAAAATTTATTCCATTTGGTTCTAGAATGTGCTAGGAAGAAAATGTGCTCTTTTAAGAACTCACTTTCTCTACCCACAGTATACACTGCAGCTGCACATCTCACAAATCAATACAAGATGGTGATGTGTGACTACAATTGATGGCGGGTAGAGTGTGGGTAGAGAGTTGTGGACAGAAAATCCCGATCGCTCTTTTAAGCCATGGGACACGTTCTAGGATGGGCCACATTCAGTTCTGGAACTGAAAATATCATGTGCTCTGACATCTGAGTGACACCAAAATCCTCCATGCCAATGATTTGAAAGACATCATGCAACCACTTCAGAAAACATGTGGTGAATTCAAAAACCTACCATTTCAAATTGACCAAAGTGGAACCCAGTAGCCTGGAATGCACAACACTTTGTGGACATAGTACCTAACAAGCCTCTTTGGTTGCCTGCTCTCATAACATGATTATGATATGTGAAGCACCACCAGCTAAGTGCTATCAGACTATCAGGTCATGGCCTTGTAAGCTTGGATCCAAAGCGTGCGAGACACAGCCACCACCAATCGGACTTCTCTGGTTTGGCTTCACTACTTCTCTAACATTAGCCCTTAGTTTGTTGCTAAGCAAGTATTGGAAAAAATAAAACCATGAAGCTTCCCAATAAGGGCGGTCTTCAACCTAATTTAACCAGCTCTGGCAGGGCATTTTCAGAGTGGATTTATTTCACCCTATAGTTATTAATTGTAAGGATTACATCAGCGGCTTCTTGGGGTCAAGTTTGCCACATGCCAAAACCTCAAACTTTATACTTTTTGGTAGTTGAGAAGGAAATCAAGTAGCCAGGTGGATTAGAAATGATCAAGCAAGGGAGAGGGGAAGGTCAGTTCAGAAGGATAAAAGAAGCTATCAGTTCATGTGATGCAGGGGAGGGTTAACCGCCCCTTTCTAGAAGACTGTATAAAGATATTGTTACTTTCTCGTGAGTGAAATAGATGAAGGGTCAATCTCAACTGCCCAAATATCGTATTAAATTCGATGAAGAAATTTGAAGTCCACATGGCTTTCATTTGGTCCAAATGGTGCAGTCTCACCCCATTCGGAGGATTATAGTCTTGTGAACGTTGGATCTTACACACAAGCAAATCTTCAGTAATGGATACTCCCTAGCCGTCCATGGTAAATGCTATTCCTATTCACTTTAAGTAGAACAGTATGTAGAGTGACCTCCTGACCTCCATCTCCCCCAAACCTCTCACTTCCACATAAGATTAAGAAAGAAAAGACACAGCAGAAGCTTCACATGAGAAGCTTTTGAATTTTGATACTTCTGGCTAGAAGGGGCCATCCTCCTCTTGTCATAATTGAAGGAAAAGAGTAGCCCTTTGCTTGCATATGTTAATTTCCCTTTTCCACTAAAAGCACCGCCAGATAGGTACCGAGAACATCTTTACTCCCCTTAATACTTGGAATCAAGATCACAATTATGCTGTGTACTCAAAGGGCTGAGGCGGTTGAGGTTCATCGTCAACAGACATTGCAGACGCTGACCCCTGCTGAGCTGTAGTTGATCCTCCTGCAGGTGATGCCATAGACGAGGGTGTGTCGGTGAGAGAAAGTATCTCTGGTTCAGTTGGCCTTAGGTCCCTTAAGAGAACAAATCCTGAAGGGGCCAATTTCACAGGCACATATCTGCTTTCTTCCAGGAACCTGATGAACTTCTCTTGAGCAGGAACCACTCTAGCTGGGTTTGTCAAAATCTCAAAAGATGGTTCCGGCTCTGCTTTCTTTTCTGATGTGCTGTCAACCTGAAATACCAAAATGGTATAGTGTTAGCCTATCAATAGGGTAAGTATTTAATCGTGGCCATTCATCTTGCATGCAACTACAAATGCAAAAATCAAGCTGACCCTGCTGGGAGCAAGTAATTCCGACATAATCTTTTTCAGTTAACAACATAACCATTATAGACATTTAATATCTGTTTCTCTTAAATATTTGCTATAGGGGTGCAACTCAGGTTAGCCTGAGTATGCATTTTACACTGCTTCAGGCTCGGGTCCTTGGGCCGGACCCATTCAGAATTTGACAAAAGCCCAGCCAAAGCCCACCCAAGTTGCAACCCTATATTTGTACAAGATGTAACAGTAAAAAGAGTATTTCCTATACTACAGAAAAGGACAACTTTAAGGACTGATAATTGAAAATTTGAAATAGTGTATATTGCCAGTAGAAAGTAAAATAGATAGTTCTTACTTGCCAATAACAGATATAAAGTTGCCAATAAACACTAGATAGTAGGATTTTAATTAATAGAATCAGTTGTTACATAATCGAAGAACAAGCAATAACATTACCAAAAAAACGAAGAAGAAAAACAAGCAACAATGAGTGGTGTAGTTACCTGCATGGAGTCCCCATCCTTCTCACTGGATGATTTGCCTTTAGAAGAAGACTCTTCCCCTGATGACTTTTCAGCATTAGCCTTCTGGTCTGCCTCTTTTTTAGCCCTAGCCTTGGCCTTTGCAGATGTTGACAGTACTGCAGTCGGGAGTTTAACTGCTGATGTTGTCGTGGGCACAGTAGTTGGTCGAGGATATTCAAACAGGGAAGGTTTTGCATGTGACAAGAACTCAAACCTTGGAACTTTCAGATCAGAGTTAAGTCCAATTAATGCTGTGGGGGAGAATGACAAGCTTATGAAATAGATAAGGGGATACCAATACCAAAACTGGCTAAAGACAGCAAGCCCAACTACTGCAGTGACTTTATCATGCTTTGTTTTAGAAAGCAGCCTAATGGTCACATTTCTTCCACCAGCATCAAGAATTCCAGAAGCAAGGATTGCTCCCATCTTGCTCATTGTGTCCTCATGCTTGTCAAGAATTATTTTCTCCAATTGCCGCCTAAAGATAATTTGACCGATAAGAAAGGGAAAAACAGAAATACAAATGAATGAGTTACCCAATGCTCGGATATGAATAACTTGAAGACAATACCTGAATGTTCCTACACGAGAATCACTAGCTTCACTGGACTGAACCATAACCATAGCCATAGCAATGAGTGCCCCCTGGCGAACAAAATCAACAACATCTGATGTAAGAGGCTCTAGTAAGGATATGGCCTCACTGAGACCAGTACCGGCACAAGAAATGCCTACAGCCAGTGCCGCACCATATCGAACATGTGGATTGTAAGACTCTGAAAGCAGAGAAACAATTCGTGGAGTCTGAAATTCAAGAGTAAGGTCAGTCATTAAACGATATGTTCAAATACAGTGTAAAGTTAATAGCCACCTAGAAAAAAATGCATAAGATACAAACAAATAAATAAATGCCCAAAAAGGTCAAAAAATGACATGTAAACAAATCCAGTGTAGAGGACACCGGTTAAGAGCCAAAACAATTGGGGTGTAAAGGTAGGGCTGCAAGTTGGGTTACCCAACTTGAAGAACTTCAATTACATCGGGCTTCAGTCAGGGTTCAGGCCCATTGAAAATTTAATAAATTCTCAACCCAACCCAACTTGTACCCTATGTAAAGGAAATGAGGAACACTAACCTGCTCAGGTTCGGAGTACAGAACAAACCCAAGAGCTAGAACAGCAGTCCTCCTCACATCATCACTAACATCTGATACAGCAAAATGCAGCAACTGGCGAATGGCCTTGTTATTTGCTGTTCCCCCATAGGCCAGTGCCAAAGCATACATACCACCATAACGCAATATAGGATCTTGATCCCGAGTCATTTGCTCAATCAGTGTGTCTGCTTCTTCTTCCCTTCCATATACTGTAAGGGCAATTCCCAGTGCTAACCCCCTGCAACACGTTTGAATAGCATAACAAACTAGCTATAAAGACATTAACCATTTCAAGTCTCAACTCAAAGTTCCAATCCTCTTACCTAATAATCTTCTCATGCTGTGTCTCATGTGCATAGGTAAGCATCTCACTTGCTTTCTCGCTTGCAGTTCCAACCATAAGTAAACCCATACCGATGCCTGCAGCCTCACCAGCCACAGCACTGTCAGTGTAAAGAAAATTCTTGACATCATCATAGATCTCTTCATCTGCTGTTCCTAAAGCTGCCAAACCAAGACCTAAGCATGCACCATGCTGGATGACCTGCACAGCAAGGAACATTCAACATAAGACTGATAATGATCTATAAGCATCAAACTCAGAAAGGATTATGCAATGTACTCCAAAACCAGTCACCTCAACATTGGTACTGCGCAGGCTATCACGAAGGAATTGTTTGATACCCTCACCATGGTTGGCATGGATCAGACCTAGAGCATAAAGTGCACCACCTTCAGAGTATGGACTACCACCCCCAGCGGCACCACCCTGAGGCAAGTAAGGTGCCATTAGCGATCTCCCTTGCTGCAGGTGGCCTCTGTGAATGACGCCAAGCCCAGCAGTAGCACTAAATTTTGCCCAGTTCGTAGCTCTGCTTAGCCAGTCCTGCCAAGCCACAAAAATTGAGACAGTATAGACAAATAAGTTATGAGTTATGACAGAGAACTTAAGAAAACAAAAGATGAATCAAGTGGAAAAGGAAAAGAACCCCAAATTACCAGATTCTCCCTGAGAAACGTATCTACAGTGGTTCCAGCATGCATAATTGCATTGGCATAAATCGTTGCACTGTGGCAAACACTATTTCTCATCTCAACTGATTGCTTTATCGTCTTCAGAATCAAAAGATCTGACCTATATTCAAAATCATAACCATCTAAGTATTGGGAATGTTGTAATTATTCATTCAAATGAATTCTATCAAAACATTCTTCAGACATCAAAGTTGCATGAGAAGAAAAAGGGATCATTTGCCTCACTTGTTATGGCTGTATAAGAACTGCAATGTCAACTGTATCGATGTCTCTCCAGACAAAATACCCTTAATTTTAGCCAACCTCTCAGCATAAGTCACTTCAGTTGAATCTATTTCACGTGCATTACCATTAGGGGCATGAGTTTCATCTGTCATATTAACATCCTCTGATGCCGTAGTAAGATTTTCATTGCCAACAACAGCACTTCCATTTTGAGCAGAATCTGTTCCACTAGATCCATGCTGCACTGCATCTGAAGGTTGAGATTTCGGAAGAGAGAGACGATCTCTCACATTCAACAGAAAAGCTTGGTGTTCATTTTCTACAAGATCAAATGCAATCTGAAAAGCCAGCAAAGCTTCATCCTGCAAATCACCATTTGATGTGCTGCCATATTTTAATAGCCAAGCACAAAAAATAAATAAATAAATAAATAACACCAGAAAAAAAAAACTGAATTACCTTATTTGCAGATCGCAGAAGCTTCTCTAATATGCTTGCTACACCTTCAGGTTCATCCAAGAACATGAGGCACTGGCAAATACTCAAGTAATCGGGAGAAGGCAACTTTTGATATATCTCAACAAGTAGACGAAGAACCTGTATAAGACAAATCCACTCAGGATTGCAATTTGCGCAAGCCAGACAGAAAATAGAACCACAGGACCATAGCACTTGTACACAAATCATGCAGTTCAAGCTTCATTTGTAAGCACTTGAATGCCCCAAGCATTCCATATTTTTTTTTCAATAATCTTCAGTACGTAAAGAGTATAACCCATACCCTCACAGATTTTTTTTTTCTAATCAATTTGCATATATACTACAATGCCTGTGAATAAACTTCAGGTAATCACATCCTTCTTTAAATGCAATTTGGAGACAAAAGTAAAAGCTTAAACAGTATTCATACTTGAACTATTAGACAACTAGGCTGTGTTTGGTTTGAAAGAAAAAGTAGGGAAAGGAATGGAAATGTAGGGAAAACCTTTACAAACCTTGTATAGTTTTCCTGTGTTTCCCTTCCTTTCCCTACTTTTTCCTTCAAACCAAACATAGCACTAGTTCCCATGAAATAGAGAGAAAAAAAATATTGCCATGAGACAATGGATGCACTAGATATCATGAATTGATCTCAATTATGAAGAATGATGGCTTTCAATAGAGCAAAATGACAGAATAGGATTCATCTAGCTGACCCAATTGAGATTAAAGCTGAGACCCTGAGTTGAGTCACAATTATGAAGAAATTAATATCTAATTGCTACTGAAGAGGAGATTTTGCATGCAGGGAGAAATGGATATGTAGCAGAGGAATGGAGGTGACTATCAGAGCTCTTAACACAGGAAAAGTTGGTTAATATGGAAACGATTTGTGTCTTTATAAAATCTCATTTCCAGTGTAGGCAAATGTTGAACAAACAGACAAATAAATTAGCAAATACCCGAGCAAATGAAGAGGAGAAATGTTCTAGACTGAGAGCAACAACATGGCTGGATGATCCTAGTAGTAAGGCAGAAATGATGTTATTTGCACTTTTTTATTATGTGTTTTGTTACAATATGAATATCATTTGCACTGGTGTAAATATATGGGAGTGCAAAGGGGCCGAGTGTAAATTCTGGTTTACTTTTCCTTCACATTTGACTTCATCTAATTTGTCTGTGAGAAGTAAATATGAAGTGTCCTGTGACCATCACTTTAAATGGAAGAGAATGGAGGGAGGAGGAGGGTTATCTGCCTAGGAGTAAGGTAGGATGAAAGATGACGTGGTCCCCACTTTATATGAGAAAGAATTAAGGTAGGACGAAGGCGGTGCAAATTTTGCATCAGTTTTTAGGATGCAAAATTTGAACTACCAGTGAGTACAAGACTACAAGGTGGGAAAAATCCTCCACCTTTCTCACAAAGAGGGGGGAACCTATAGGTAGGGGTGTCAATTGGACCATTTTGGACCGGTCCAATTCAATGTCCAGACCGTCCAATCTGTTCAAATTCATTTTAATTTAGATTGGTTTCAACCCAAACCCAGTCCATTGATACTTATGTTCTTATCTTATATCAATGGACTGGATATTGGCTTAATCCAACCGAATCCAATATAAATTTATTACGGATGGATATTTTGGACCAGATTGGTCCAACCAATCCAATATGTCTTGCTGGTCCATCCAATCCATCCAAATTGATTTTGGACTGGACAGGGTCCAGCCCAAAACCGGTCCATTGACACCCTTACCTATAGGACATCAAGTTCTAGGCACCATATTACAACCCGACACTACATGACAAATATTGGTAGGTTACATGAGCCCATTCAATGAACTCCTCATGGAATACATCATATAGTTAACTGATTGTAAGACCTTGACAGAAACGCAAGGCTGTAATGTTAAATACAAATACCAACTGTGTAGATGGATATCATTATTAGAAATTTTGTCATAGAAATCTGGAAAAAAAAATAATCTATGGATGTAGATCATTAATATCAAGTTTAAGAAACAAATACCAACTGTGTAGATGGATATCATTATTAGAAATTTTGTCCTAGAAATCTGGAAAAAAACTAATCTATGGATGTAGATCATTAATATCAAGTTTAAGAAAACCATCTTTTTCACTTGGAAGAATGTAAACCTACAAGATGATGGTGGCCTTATAGATTATCGTAATTATCAGCTATTGCATTTCTATGGTATAGAATCCAAGGGCCATTGCTTGGTTTGATGATAAAATATCAGGTTAACAAGCAAGAGAACACAGATTGAGTCTGAGAGTATAGAGAAGCCACTTTGGGCCAAAAAAAAAAGGTTAGGTCTGTATCCAGCCTACCCCTCCCAAGACCCTAGATAGGTGGGACCAACATTGGATAGCGGCCTTTTATATGGTAGTATCTTGTAATTTTCTTTTAAAAAAGGACAAAAAAGGCATTCTGTTACATATTGCCACTGCAGTGTAATCCCATTGGTGATTTGTTTGGAAATCTGAAAAATTAGATAAAGATAAAAGAGTTGTTTAAGACAAGAAGAAAGACACTGCTACGGAATCGGTCCAATTATTCTTCTGGCCGATAATTTACCTAGATTTTGAAGACTATTAAATCATCATTCAGATCAAGATTATGGTCTACCATTGATTCTATTAGGCTATGTTTGGTTTGAAGGAAAAGGTAAGGAAAGGAAGGAAAACATAGGGAAATCTATATAATGTTTGTAAAGGTTTCCCTACATTTCCCTTCCTTTCCCTACTTTTTCCATCAAACCAAACACAGCCTTAAGGATAATGAACAGATGCATGTTTCTTGTATTTTAGTGCTTTTGTGTGTGTAGGGGTGAGCATGAATTCCGGTTTCAGTTTTTTCTGTTCAGTTAGTTCGGTTTTCAGTTAATTTGGTTTGGTTAATTTGGTTTTATAAAACTTTGGTTTTTGGATTAGGAAATTCGGTTAACTAAATTAACCAAACTATGTTATTTATAATATATACATTTATATTATATACTAATAAATATGTTACATATCATATAGAATATCTATAATATATTATATTATATATACTAATATTTATAATATTATATATATATTTATAATAATATATTATGTACATTAATATATTAAATAAATTCGGTTTTAACCAAAATAACCGAAAACCGAACCAAAAATTTTGATTTTTCATTATTTCAATTTCAGCTCGATTTTACACTTCAAATTTCGGTTTTAAAAAATTTGGTTTATTCAGTTCAATTTTAAGCCAATTGCTCACCCCTACATGTTGTGTGTGTGTGTGATAGCTATTAACAACACGACTCGTCATAAAGAAACTTCAGAAAAAAAATTATGTTTGATTTTTGAAAGCATGGTGTTAAAAGACCGACAAAAGTTGAGGGAGCAGACAATAAACTTTCTCAAAAGCTTTTCATTTATTGTGAAGTGTGAACCACTACTAGATAGTAGAAAGGAAAACTGACAATCAGAAGTTTCACATAATAAAAAGAGATAGTGCCGTAGAAAATAACCAGCACTTAGATTTTAAAGCTTATTTTAATAGAATTGAATAAACTAGATTTGACCTAGTAGTTTAACTGGAAAGCCCACCCCCCCCCCACCCCCCCGTGCACAACAGGAAAAGGTCAATCCTGAATTTGTCAGGCAAATACTTCACCACCAATTGTGTCACTTTCTCATGTATCCTTCACCTCTATGAGTAACTTTTTTACATCTCTTTATAAGCATTTGCAGTATACATGATTGCTTTCTTGCATTTCATATTTATTATGCCATATATAAATGGGACTTCCACTTATCGGGATTCAAAAACAACATTTAAGTAATAGAAAATCATAATTAAATTGAGACTATATTTTTTTGATAAATAATTAAATTGAGACTATAAATGTAGTACAGATCAAATCAAATACAAAAATGAAAAGAATTACATTTCTATCTATCTATATATGAAACTAAAACTTAATCAAAGGCCTTTCAAACTCAAGGACAAAAAATTTCCTGACCTCATGGCGATATTCTCTGCGGTTAATGAAGGAATGGGATATATTGATACAGTAGGAAAGAGTTCCCTGCACACTATCACTCTTAGTGATTGCTTCCTCAAGTTTATCCAATCTTCGGCACTCAACCGCTATGCCCATAGCTTGCTGATACTTTCCATCCAGGATGCACCTACATGAAATAAACATAAGATAAACAGCCAGACAATTAGAACAATGCTGGTGCCATGGTCCCTCAACACAAAAGGACAAATCTTAAACAGGGGCATTTCTTCAAATACACAAAAATTAGAGGGTATATTACATCATTAAGTGATTTCAAGGTGCCATAGTATCACATTAGCATTGATCAAGCAACTATACTAGTACTAGTAAATAAAAGAGTATATAAGGCATCCAACATACTTATCAAGCATCCTCTCCACAATAGCCTCCAGTCTGGGATCCACCTTTGCTGCTTCTTCATTTGATTCTGCTGCTTTAGACTTCAGACTGGCATATTCATCTATAGCTTTAGCTGTAAAGAGAAAATGAAAGCCCAGTTCAATGAATGTATAACTAAAACCAATCCCTACTAGTAATAGGAGCTTTTTGTTGAGAAGTTTTCCTAGAAAAGTGTAACACATGTGATTTGCTCCAAAGAAAAAGATCTGATTGGTGTTTATCCCCGAACTGGTGCATCCTTTGTAAAGCTAATGGTGAGAGCTGCTATCACTTATTAATCTCCTGCCCTTTTGTCTCAGTGATTTGGAATTGGTTTCTCTCTCTATTTAGTTGCAGGTGGAACCCCCCCCCCCAATGTACAGAGCTTGCTTGTTCCCTTTTTTTGTTAAAGGGTCAAAGAAGAGGAGTAGAACACTTGGAGATGTGCAAGAGCAAATGTTTGTTGAACAGTTTTGGAAGAAAGAAATCAAAGAATTTTCTTTGAAAACGAAAGAAGTAGGGATGTCATCATTGAAACCATAACTGTTAGGGCGGTTCATTGAGTCAAGTCTATGAAGCTCTTTTTGAAGGTATTTCAGCAGGTGGTTTATTTAAAAATTCAAAGGAAGTGACTTTTTTAGCTTCTTTCAAAATTGTAACTAGTCTGCTTATAACTAACTGTTAGGGTGGTTCATTGGGTCAAGCCTATGAAGCTCTATGAAGGTATTTCAGCAGGTGGTTTATTTAAAAATTCGAAGGAAGTGACTTTTTTAGCTCCTTTCAAAATTGTAACTAGTCTGCTTTGGTCCCCTCCAGCTGTTGGTTTCACTAAATTGATTTTTTATGGAAAAAGTGGAGGTAATGCAGGCCCTTCAGGTATAGGAGTATTTAGGGGTGAGGAAGGGAAAATTATTGCTCCATATTTAGGCCCTATTGGAGTAGATGATTCCCTAAGAGTCAAGGTTATGGCGGTTTTGGAAGGGATACAGAGAGCAAAGGAGTTAAGTATCAGAAAATTGGTTGTGGAAGGTGACTCGATGCTGGTTATAGGCTGGCTTCAAAAAGAAGAGATTGGGATTTGGAATTTGGCAAATGAGAAAAAAAAGTTTAAATGGCTGACCCAAGACATAGAGATAAAGCTACAGTGGATTAAGGGGAGTACAAAATCCTATGCAGATGCACTTGCTAAACAAAGGGGTGGAAGAGCCAGTCTTTTTTGGGCAATTTTGTAATCTGTGTTGTTCTTGGGGAGGGTTAAGAGATTTTACCCTCCCCTTGCTCCTTTGTATCTGCTTTTTTAATAGAAGTTCAGTTATTTATCAAAAAAAATGTATAACTAAAGCCAACAGCTTAAAAAATAGCCTACATATTAAATATAATAAATTGCTTACCAAGAAGAGTGTGAACATAATCAGAATCCTCTGAAACATCAAATAGAGGTCCAGCCCCTAGGGCGTACGATAAAGAGTCATTAAGTTCACCCAGATAGTAGAAAACCTGGGGCAAAAACCAGTACAATTGATTTAAGAAACAAATCTGAGATTATCAGAAGATTTAAGGAATTTCAGGCAATGACAATCAAGACAAAAATGGTCTCCAAGGTCCATAATTTCACTTTTTTCTTTTCATTTCAAAATTCCCAGAAGTAAAAGATACCAGTTCTAGCAGGAATACTATATTGGTAATTTGTGAGTGCAAAGACAACCAAAATGCATTGTATTATTCATGTAGAAAACAATTCACAATACTGAAATGCAGATCTGATATTGATCAAAAAAACATGCAGATCTGATGTGTACAGACAATGTCAAATCAGATCTGAAACAAAACTGTAGAATAAGAAAACAAAACAGGACAGAATCCCTTAGAAGTCTGCACCTAGGCTTTCTCTAGGAGTCAGCCCCTTTTGAAAGGGGCTGCACCTTGGTTGAAGTGAGGCACATGACAGATGTGATAAGATACATCCAATACGAGGTGTATCATATCAAAATTTTGACACTTGATCTCATCTAATGTGCACCTCTTGACCTCCATTCTCATCTGCTGTATCATCTTTTAGAGTTTTACCTCTAGCCTCCCGTTCCAATTTTCCTTCCCTACTGTCCAATGTCCCACATCTACATCCCATTTTTTTCTAAATGAGTGGTAATTTTATTAAGAAGATAAGAAAGTGTACAATCACCTTAAGAGGAGGCACGAGATGTTACCTCCCCTCAGGATTGAGAATATGATCACATTCTTAACAGAAATACAGTTTTTTTTGGATCAATAAATCTGAAAATTTTCATTAATTAAGATGCTTTAATATACAACAAGAAGTTACAAAGAAATCAGCATAGAAGCTGACCCAAGACAGAATTACAAATGTGCCCAAAACATATCGTTCTTTGAACCCCTTGCTTTGCTAGGCTATCAGCCAAGCTGTTGGCCGATCTCCTAACCTGACCCACCTGAATAGACATATTTCTTGACATCCATTTGAACTTTCTGAAATCATTCTTCAGCTGCCAGGTCACTCCTTCCCCTTTTTGCAACCATTTTATCACAGTTTTTGAGTCTCCCTCGATGCTGATAGCTTAACAGAAATACAGTTATAAGGTAGCCCAGAACAATTCACCCCTTGATACCCTGATACCCCTTGTTTAGCCAAAGAATCAGCCATAGAATTTGCCTATCTGCTAACCCACTGGAATCTTACTAATATGTTTCTTGTAAGCCAATTAACTTTCTTGAGAAGATCCCTGTAGCCCCAAAAAACTGGTTCTGGATCCGACAGCCAACCCACTACCACCTTGGAGTCCCCCCTCAACTATCAAGTGCTCCATGCCAAGTTGGTTTGCAGCCTGTATTCCTTGTACCGCAGCCAGTATCTCAGCCCTTGTAGAGTCACCAACTCCCACTGATCCAGAAAACAGGGATAAGATGTTACAATCCTTCTCTCAAAATTCCCCCTACACCCTTGTAGAGTCGCCATCCACTTCTTGAATCTCCGACACTTCACTATCTTTCTTACCACTAGTATTATAAATCTTTCCCATCTTCATGTGGAGAATCGTCAACTCACAACTTTTCCCAACTTCATGTGGAAAATCATCAAGTTGATGATCACTTGAGGACAAGACAAACAGGAACCACCTTGCCACATATCTACAATGTTACTAATCAAGGCCCAAGTGCAACAAAAGATGTTAATGTGAGTTATTCAGATGGTTGCCAATTAATGAGAGATTGGTTCAAGTAATAAGAGATGATAAGTTGATAACTGCCTCCAAAAGATACAGTGACACAGAACCCTGGCGGTGTAACCATTCAAGTTTCTGTTAGTCAAGTTTGAGGGGGAATCAAACAAATTGAAGTCCAAACTTTATGACAGGATTGAAGCATCTCTTATGTTCTCACATCCATAATTCCATTCAGGGATCGGGGATCGGGGGTGTTTTTAGAGATGAAAATGGGGTCATCTCTGCTATGTTCTCAGSCCCAATTGGAGTGGGTGACTCCCTTAGAGCTGAGATRTGTGCAGTTATGGAAGGAGCCCGGAAAGCTAAGGAATTGAACATCAAGAAACTTATATT